ACTGACAAACTCTTGCTTAATCTCTTTCAGTGTCATTACTCCATTTCCAAAGGAGCAGCTTTAATGGGGATCGGCACGAAGAATGTTTATACTGTCCCAACTGATGAGAGGTGCACTGTCTGTTTCCCGCACTTTCCTTTTTTCTTTAAAATTCCTGATAATCTATGGATGCAGAGAGACAGAGCAGAGTGACTGAATTGAGGTTGTCTCGTGTCTTTTTCAGAGGAAGGATGATTCCCTCAGCCCTTGAGGAGAAAATAAAGTTGGCAAAAAGTGAGGTTAGTCAACCATCTTATTTTTCTGAGCTACCATACAAAGAGTCTTGAAATGGGAAATGAGCCAAAGGATAATATCTCATTCTGTGTGCTCAGGGTGCAGTTCCCTTCATGGTAAACGCCACCGCAGGAACCACGGTGCTTGGAGCCTTCGATCCCATCGACGAAATTGCTGACATCTGTGAGAAGCACAACTTGTGGCTACACGTGGATGTGAGCTCATTATTTAAGCAAGTCGTTCATTTAATCCCTCCTGTCGCTCAGCGTTGCTCATCAGTACTTTCCTCTTCTGTCTGTCTGTGCTCAGGCATGTTGGGGAGGAGCAGCTATCATGTCTAAGAAGCATAAACACTTGTTAAGGGGCATCCACAGGTAAACACTATGTACAAATCCCCCTAAACATACAATGTAGTAGCTGATTTTTTTCAGCGTGACACACAACTGCAACTCTCTGTATAATACATAGAAATACATTTTAATTTCTACAAGTAAGCATCGACATTTAATCGTGCAGATTTTTATTGTAGTCCCTAAAATTTTATCTTGTGATTTTCATTCTTTATCAAAAGATCAGGACATACTATCTATACATCTGCAAACCAACTTTTCTGTTACTGGTAAATTTGGGCTTCAAATAAGAATGTAAACTTGTAGAGCTGCAGCCTGCTGAGGTGGAATGTAACCTCGCTCTGTCATCTTTCATTTGTTTGATAAAGAGTCGACTCTGTTGCTTGGAACCCTCACAAGATGCTGATGGCCTCTCTGCAGTGCTCTGCTTTCCTGGTCAGAGACAAAACGGTGAGTCTGATAAGTCATATTTGCTGAATGAAAAAACGAACACCACCAGTAAAACCAGCAAGAGTGACAGCAATGTCACAATGATCCACAATGATGTGCCACATCAACAGAATGTGAGTCAGGTTAGGTGACTAACTGGATCCAAAACTTTTAAATGTGACATTAAAAATCATGGTGTCCTAAAACTGTGGCCGAGGATGGGACAATGCAGTCTTTATGGAGTGAAAACAAGGCCAGTGTACTGTATCTGAATGGAAATCTTCCCATTCCAGTAAAGTCGGATCTTTGTTATATATTTTTGTTTGCAGTCTGCTTTTTTAATTATCTTAAATTGGAAGATGAATAATGTCCACACTTCATGTTTCTCCCTCTGTTGGTAGTTGGGGGTATTGCAGGCACCAAAAAACAA